TAGCAGTATTTTACAAAACCTTGTTGAATTTCAAACCTTAAAAAGGTTTATTACGACACATTGTTGAATCCGAAAACCTTGACAAGGTTTTTCGCGAAACCTCTGATGGAACTGAACCACTATAAGGTTTTGTGTTTCCGATCGAAACCTTTTGAAGTATAGTAAAGCACCACGAAACCTTTTAAGTTCCGCATGGAACCTTTTTTTCAGTGTAGTTCGTGGTAGTGTTTGTCCTGTTTTTGCTTCGATTCGAAAAAGAAGTGGCACTTAAGATGCAATAAGCAGTACAGAAAATATGAAAAATCATTTATTAGCAGTGCATCAAATAATTCAAGAGAATGAGGATTTTTTTCTTTTTTTTTGGCTTAATGCTTTCTAGCGTGTAGATTTTGTCGCCATGACTCTTCTTGTTACTACTCATGTATTTTTGGTTGTATTCTTTTAGAAAATACTGTTGAATGGATACAGGTAAAAATATCATTCATACTATATTGATATTAAAAGAAATTGAAGTAACGAGGTTCAATCATTTCTGGATGAACTGGGAAAGAAATAAACCAACAATACTTCTTTACAAGTGAAAGAGAACGTATTTACTGTTTGAACAATTAGCAAAATAAAAGGACAATCATGCATAAAATATTTCTGCCAAGAGCGAGCAGAAAAACTTATCGAAGAATTTTTTAGAGTAAAAAGCCTATGACAGTCCAGGCTTCTTTTCATTAGCTGTTAAATGCCAATTTTCTATCGGATATCTAGGATGAAGTACTCAGTCCTTTTTTCTTAATGCATTGATCTGCCTCCGACTATGATTCGAAGAAAAACATTTAAAAGCTCTACCAATTAATGATCGATTTTGGTTGTCTTTCATTTCTTTTATTGGTTGCCTTGAATGCAAATGTATATTGTTTAGTCATGATAACGACCTTCTCGGCATATATCTAATGAGAAGTAGGAAGAAGCCTGGAATCATATTGAGGGTATATGACATACTCACTCGAATGGAATACTATCGGTAAGTCAAAATATAATAGTGATTGTAAATGTTATCATTAAGCGTTGTATGTTTTCATTTTCAACTTGGCTATGTTCGATTCGACGTGGTTATCGATAAAATATCGGCATGTATATATCAATGTGATGCGATAGAAGCAGTCATCAACCTCAGCCTTTTTTTCTTGGTGTATCAATATATTTAAAACAAAATAGTACTCTCAAAGCGTCGTTCTTGAGTTCTATATAATACGTAGAACTTTTTCTACAAGTATGACAGAATGTTTTTTGGAAATGATTGCGTGAACACTTGTTCTGTTTCGATGATCAATTTTATTGTCAGTCAAGCAACAGATTTGGAGCTAACTTTCTCAGAGAAAACTCTTCACTTGTGAGAGGAAAGTAATATTTCAAGGAAAAAAAAAGACGCCGCATTACTTTGTTAACTATACTCGGCCATATTTATTTCGAATATGTAGAAAAATTCTCAACATTTTTAACTGCATGATTTATTGCTACGATATACAGTTACTCTTTTCCTTCAAAACTACTGAAATTTTATGCCTGAATAATCGTATAAGATAATATATTGATACTGTTGACTGCAATAAAGTGAAATTTATTGCAGCTTTGTAAGAGATACAATAAAATTTTTATTTTTGAAGGCTCGCATATTTTTATGTGCTATATTTACTAGTTTTTATCTCATAGCAAATATTGACAAATTTGACTTCTCTTGATGATACAGAACACCGTGTTGCATGTTAATCGCGATCCTGATTTTGAGCGACAAAATGTTGTCGATCACATGTGTTGTAGTGCTTGTAGTCCATCTTGTGGCGATAGTTGAATCGCTATCATTTGTGAAAGTTAAAAATGCTCGATTGTCCTTGGATGATCATACCTACATCTATGTCGGCACTAATTTCTGGTATGGAGCCAACTTAGGATCACTCGGTCCTGGAGGCGATCGCGAGCGTCTAAAGCGTGAACTTGATCATTTACATGAATTGGGTGTGAATAATCTTCGTGTACAAGCAGGCAGCGAAGGACCTGACACCGAACCATGGCGTATCATTCCGTCCTTGCAGCCATCTCCTGGAGAATACAATCTTGACGTGCTCGATGGGCTCGATTTTCTTCTATCTGAAATGAGCAAACGTCAGATGCGAGCTGTCATGTGTTTGAATAATTTTTGGCATTGGTCAGGTGGATTTGCCCAATATATAGCATGGGCTGATGGACCAGGAACAATAATACCTTATCCAGGTGATTACAATCAATTTGAATTGTTTTCAGCAAGATTCTATGAAATAAAAAAAGCTACAGATTGGTTTGAGGATCATATTCGATTTTTATTATCACGCAAAAATCGATATACAAATGTTGCTTATACAAGCGATCCAACTATTGTAAGTTAAATATCGTACTTGTCGATAATTAACGTTTCGACAGAAAATGGCAGTAATTATCTAATTAGAACTCTATTTTGAATCCTAGTTGTGATATAAAGTAGAAGGTTGCAATGTTTGGTTCGATTATAATATAATTAATCTAGTTTCAACCATGATCAGTTGCAACTGAGTAGAAATTGTTATTACCAAAGAATTAAACTATTCATTGCTCTATTAGGTCAACAGAGGAATTCTTTCTAAAAAAGTATTGTGCTGATATACGAAAACTACATTCTCACTCACACCCTCGATCATTATCGCCTAGGATTTTATTCTATTTTATCCACTAGGTCCCGCTTACACATAAATATATTTCTTGTATTATAAATATCAGTTTTACCATTGACATTGACGTGCACAGAATGATAGGTATCTCTATGTGTGAACTTCAGTTCACGATCAAATAGGGCACTCCATGGAAAGGTGGGCAAATAAAAACTAAACACATAGGGTTCCACTCCTATGTTTGAGAAATTTTGCGAACTAGATTTCCATAATATAGATCATAATTTTATTCTAACCCTTTGAAGATGTCGTGGGAACTTGCCAATGAACCTCGTCGTTTGGATCTCTCATGGGTCAATCGAACGGCTTGTTTACTTAAAGAACTTGCTCCACGACAATTGGTTACCACTGGCGTCGAAGGTAAAATTTCATCGAATAATTTTTCTAACGATCACGCAAGTCCATGCGTCGACTATGCCACGTTTCATTTATGGGTACAGAATTGGAATATATTTGATCCACACAATGCTTCTGCAACATTACCTCTCGCTATTGATTATGCCAAAAATTACATTGACTTTCATGCCGCTTACAAAGATAAACCTATTGTGTTAGAAGAATTTGGTATTTCGAGGTAATCACTTTTTTAGGGTCAGAAATATAGGACCAATTTATTTCAAAGATTTTTACTTATTAAATTCTGAGATTGCCTTACTGAAAGTCATTTTTCAATAGAAGTCGATCCATCGATTGTAATACAATTGTAGAACAGATCGTACGCTTCTATTTGGAAAAGAACTTTTAATGAAAGCAATTGCTAAAATTCATGTTTAGAAAATGAAATTCATTTGAGAGTATCACATAAAAATCCTTCAGACTGATCGTATGAAACTCTTTTTTTAAAGGGACAATGGTAACTATATGCCAACAGCTTCTGTAACCGTACGCAATCAATATTATCGAGTTGTACTGACTCATTCTCGCAGTAATGGTGTGCCTACCAATTTTTGGGCCTATGGGGGTGAAGGGCGGCCACGTATTCCAGCAGCTAATTGGTCTCAAGGAGATGATTTCACTGGAGATCCACCACACGAGCCGCAGGGTTGGTATTCGGTGTATAATGACGATCGAAGCACACTCGATCTGATCAAGGAATTCGCTACAACGGAATCAACATCATCAACAACTAGACTTCTTTTTTCTATAAGTATTTGTCTATTTACAATTACACTGCTTATATAATACTATTGCGTGTAGAAAAATGACGATTAGCTCGCAGAAAGAATGAGGCTTCACAACCATCAAGTATAGAGATTCTATCCGCGTTGTTGGAAAGTATTAATCAGATGATTTTTATCATGCATTGGTATAAAGCGATAGGAGTTATCTGCAAACAAAGTCTACCAAGAAACTTAATCATGTAGATACATGTGTGAACTAAAAATCGATATGTGACAGTTCCATCTAGTAGTAGTGTTAGTAGTATATTGCTTTATTTAATATATAAGAATTGGAGTATTAGGTATTTTGTAGTTTCATAGAAAGAAGAAGAGCAGGGAAGACTTAGACGAGCATCGTCTCTGCAGTCATAAAAAAAAACACGTAACATTGCATTAAAACGACACGAAAAAAAAAGAGATTTTGAAGAAGACATCCGATTATAAAAAGAAAAAATAAATGAAACAAATAGAAGATTGAATAATCTGGTAATTATTTTTAATTTCTCAAATCATCACTCGTAAGAGAAATATCGATAGTGTTATGTATGTAAAAAAAAAGATTTGAAATAATAGAATTTGATCGAATTTGGTTGTACGCCTAAATTTAATAATGAAACTTTGGTTGTTGAATGTGGCCATTTTTCGTTTTCATTTGTATTACGTAAAATAAAAGACTTGATCAAAGAGAGACTGATTGCAGGATGATAGCAGTTGTCGAATACAATTTGATGTTCTTCCTCTTGTAATAATTGATTGCTTTTCTTTCAACAAAACTGAATTCAAGTAATATTCTCTTAAGAATAGCAGGTATAGCTTTTGCTGAATAAAGTCAGCAATGATTGCAGGGTTTGTACAAAGAATCGTTGCTAAAAGTTTTGTAAAGTGCACATGGGTAAGTGACTCAGTTGATTTGTAAGCTGGAAGGTTCGTCATTTCGTCGTTCGTAGCATCATGCCATCTGTGAATCGAACGGAAGATCTTCCGATTTAATGCTTCCAATTGTTGTGCTTTTGTATGTGATAAAATTGGATAAATGTTTAACACGGATCGGTAGTATTGGCGAATATCTGCATAGTATAGTCGATATGAAACTTCCTCGGATAACATACGACTGCAAGATAAACGTTTGAATACCAGAAGATTTTTATTGATCTTCGATTTGATGTAATTAAGATGGTGGTTGAAAGACAGTCTGGCATCGAGAATAACCCCACGATATTTGAATTTTGGAACTTCTTCGAGGATGTTATTGTGGTAATGGATGAGGGGAATAGCTGGCGAAACTTGTCGGTGAAACAGAGTCCAGTATGTCTTTTTGAAGTTTAATAGTTGTTTTCAAGTAATTTAATAAGAATATAAGTCTTGTATTACATTCTAAATTTGCTGTGAAAGATGTGGAATTAGTAATTGTGATGACCAAGTTGCTGATGGCGAGAGAACAGCTACATTTCAACTTATGAAACTGAATGAAATTTTCCATTCTGTTGATTTGCGCAGGAGGAGGGTACCATTTAAAAGGATTAGCATCATAATTATCCTTTTAGGGTTTTAAATGTCGGTAGCATCTTTTGAACTTTTTATGGTCAAGCTTTTAGCCACAAAATTGCTGAACCTAGAAAATAGTTCCTAAAATAGTATCGAAATGTAGAACTCTAAAAGAATCTATGTAGCAAAAATTCTTTCTGGTGAATAAGAGACTTCAGTTTAAAGTTTTCATGAAAAAAAAGCTATTTTGACTCTAAACATGTTCAATCTGAACTATCGAAAGCAAGATAAATGAAACTCTTATAGTTCTTCAGAGCTTGCTAGAGAAAACCGATCAGGATCGTCTACGTCAATTCTTGAAATTGTATTCACCAATAGATTCGACTCATACATGAATGAGTTAATCATCATCTATTTCAACAAGTTGATTCGCCTTACCCCTATAGAGTTATCTAATTTCTTTGCAAACAAAACTTGTTAATAGGAAACCTTATATTTTCTACGATAAAAGTAAACGAACAAATTTCAAATGCGTGTGAAGATTCAATAAACAATACACATGAGACAAACAACCATTATAACTTCATAGTCAAAAATAAGCCAGCTGAAAGTAGATATTGAAATGAATAAATCTAAACTGGATGCTGAATAGGAGACCCAAAGAAGTTAGAAATTCTTCTATCAGTTTCTATGATATCAACACTACAAAAATGTTTCTAAACAAGTACATTAATACCCCTTCTTCACATATTTTCGCCCTTTTCGCATTATTCTCACCACTTAATCGCGCTAGTATATTGCTGGCGCGATCAGAACACGTCAGAGTGGACCGATTTTTATCAAAATCATTTGCCGATGAGATTTGTAGAGTTTAAATAGAAGTGAATTGATCTCAATAAAATGTGATACCATTCTCCGTACACGTACTTGATTTCATTAAAAAAAAGAAAGAAAATTTCGTTTCTGCTTTTTATATAATACTGCTTATTTTCGAACATATTAGCTTAGTTATCAAAGTGCCCATTTAGCTATTTATTTTGGACACATTTTGGGACTCGGTAATGCTAAAATCCATTGGTCGACGCAAGATGATAGTGCATCGATAGCAAAAAATACAGATTGATCTCTTGCGAATGATCCAATACACATTGGTGCTGTTATAAGCAGAACACAGTGTGTAATTAACCATCCAAGTATTGGCGGTAACTTGTTCGGTAGAAAACCCTCTATGCAACAAGCAATACCATTGAGAACGAAGCAAGCAAATGTGGATAGGGCCGACGACACATCATTGAGAACGACGATAGCAATATGAATATGAAGCAGACCACTGATAATAAACGTTATTAAAGCAACGGCTGATCTTGATGACATATAAGAATTGAGCGGCTGAAAAATTGATTGATGCAAAATTCTGCCAATGATTAAATTATAACGACAACCCCAAAATTCACGTAATGATCGAGATGAAAATGGAAAATTGTTGAGCGATTGAAATGTATATTTATCTCGAGTTATTATTCGCATGAAAACCGTCTGAATATCAATTACATATGAAAACGTCAATATTGATAAGAAATAAATGAAAACTCTTTGATAACTATCATTCGGTTCACATATCAGTAGCCATCGATGCAACCAACAGTTTATTATGAATTTTAAGATGCCAGCAATGAAATATAAGATTATAGGCCAATCTTTGTCTCTTGGCTGGCATGGTACAACAGGAAATACAATCCACAAACATTTGAAAATAAATGAAGATAATGTCAGGTACTTGTTGCGTGAAACAATGATTAAATGAATGAGACGGATCGATGTCATCCAATAAATAGCAATAGCAAAAACAGAAAAAATATGATGTTGTGGTAGATTACGAACTCCCGAATCGGTCAGTATTATGCATGGAATTAATGCTAAAATGCGTCGAATTACAGTGTAGCGAATGGGACGAATAGCTTAGAAACATATGACTATATGTAAAAGCCAACCAGCATGAACCAGTAGCAGGTATACCATGTTGATAACTATTGGAGTATCTGTAAAACTTCCAATGAATGAAATAAATTGATACTGAGGCTTTGTAATTTTTTTGAAAATGCATACATGTCAAACTTGAAACTTGAATTCCACTGAAACTTCAAGTTTCAACTTTCAAGGGTGTGGGTGCCGGGTAAGGGAGATACGCTTGTCTACACGCACATATGTACCCATATTGTGGGTGCCGGGGAAGCAGTAGTGTCAGAGCAATAACGTCAAACCTGAAACTTGAAACTTGAAACTTGAAGTTTCAGTTGAATTCAAGTTTTAAGTTCGACACTACTGCAGGAATTATGAATTGTATAATGTATGTCGACTATTGATCTTCGAAAGATAAAAGAGTAAGTCATTATTGTAAAAGATCCGACTTGAAATCTTCAACAAAATTATTCTATTCGATACGAGAAAAAACTAACAATTTTTGTGAAGTTCCAGGTCGTCAGTTTTGTTTATAATATGTTTGTAAAAGGTCTTTGCACAAAATTCTTTTTTAGTCTTTTATTTCAACAAATCCGTTTTATTTTTAATATCAATAAGTAGTACGAACAATACTGTTTCTAATATCAAGAAGAGTAAGCTTTGTAAAGTCCTTTATCTGCAATTTTACGAAGTTGCTTCCATGTACCTGAAAACGCGACTTGTACAACTTTCATATCAATATCTTTTTATGTTTTAATAATTCGTCTCTTCAGTATTCCGTATAAGTTGTTAGGTCATCAAGTTTCATGATACAGTGTCTCCGCGATTAGTGCAAAGCACCATGTTTCCATGCTTATCGATGTCCAACGGTCTTGAAGTTTTACTTAGATCGTTTCGTCCATTACATGAAATATTTGACGAACGACAATTGGATAAAAGATGCTTGCAAAAATTAAGATTTTTTACTAGGAAAAAAATCATTGAATTTTTGAAATCATGGAAACACATCTCAGCACGATTACAAGCAACAAATATACCATCGATTCATGTAGTTATACCTGGTATTGAAAGTCTAAAAGCAAGTTTAGAATGGATATCAAATGAAAATGGATAGAACTATTTATATTTCTGATTTTCGCTGAGCTATAACAGTTTTTTTATTTTTCATGAAAGATATCTTTTTTGGAACAACCTGAGAAAATATTGATAGAAGTCATGTTTGATTATCATTCCATCCATTCCATGGCGTTATTTTTAAATCCAAGAACTAGACAAAACGAATCAATGTACAAATGATGAAAGAAATTTATGTTTAGAATACATAAAGCAAGAGATGATTATATTTGATACATTTGGCAATGATACGCAATCGGAAGATAATAACAATAATAGATCGACAAATAGATGACCGGGTGAAGCGAATCAAGCTCTTCGAATGATGCAACAATTTTATGAAGACGATGATACAAAAGATGCTTTACCAACAACAATTGCTCCAATACATCAAACAGAAATCGACAATAGATAAATTAGATGAATCATGATAATTACTCAAATTCTTCTTTATGTGATGAAGAGTAGAATCCATTACATTTTTGAAAACGTAATCATACATTATATATACACTTAGCAAAAATTGCCAAACTTGTTTTTTCAGTGACAGCAACTAGTACTGCTATTGAGCGTGAGTTTTCTTTGGCAAGAAATATAATAACAAAAAAGAAGTTCGCGATTAAAAAGGATCAAGAAATCATGTTTCTCAACTCTTTTGAGAATGTTTTTTATTTTATTTTTTGTACAATGTATACATTTATATACACTTGACTGATTTAAAAATGAATAAGATGATAAACATTATTAACTAAAATAATGTAGATTCATATATAAATATACGTATATAATAGGCATAAATCATTCATAATAAGACAAATGAGTTCAACTGAAGATTACATCGTTTTCATTATTTGTAGTAGAGTTTCAAAATTTACTTTTTCGGCTCGATTTAAATTTTGAAAACACAAACCGTGCCAATCTCACACATATATATATATATAATTTTTTACAACTCCATGAGCTCTGTAAAAACTTATAGAAATATAAAAGAAAGAAAAATGACTAAATTTTTGAATAAATTGCACTTTACGCATGGACAACGAAATGATACAGGGATTCACTTGAATGCACACGCTATGATGGTGAGGTGGGTGAAGCATGAGAACCAACGGTAAAAGTTACTTGAACGAACATATGATGACGAAGAAAGTGTACTTTCATATCACTCACATTAAATAAAATCGATATCTTTCTGTGCATACTTGGAAGCCTGCTGGTACGTGTGCAGCCCCTCATTTACATACGCAGGCGTGGTTCACAGCATTACGTCAAAGACAATGCAAGTAAGTGACTCTCAATCGGTAAACAGCTTTTCAACATACATCCCTGGTATTTTTCCGTTAGAAAAAAGGTGCTTACGAAAAAAAATCACTGATTAAAATGTTCGGTCAAGAGTAGCTGTACCCAGAGAATTTACTCCTTATATGGGTTTCTCAATATTTTGCTTCCTGCAATGCGGACTGCGTGCATGTGATAAAGTAGCCATAGTCTCATCGACAACGCTTTTAGATTTGAAAACATATTATCTAAATATAAGTTGATTGCGCCTAATGGTGTAATCCTAAGCAAAGCAATTTCTGTCTTTTAGTTTTTTTCTTTCGTTCTCTCATTTGCAATGATATAGATATATGTTCACCAATAGAAGAAGAAAAGGCGACATTGTCATACGAAGGGTGAGAAAAAACAACAACTTGAAGAATAGATTAGTCCATAAACGATTCAAGCTTCAATACAATTTAAATGAATTTTAAAGTTGAGAGAGTTTGCCCATAGCTATAGTATAGGTATCGAACGGTGACATGAGACTTCATTTGTCTTAGGATTTTCATTTTATCTTTCTGTATTATATTAAAATGAAAAATCTTCATCGTGTTTAACTATGATAAGTACCAATAATGTCCCATTTTTATTGATTGATTCTTATGTATATATATCCTACGTACAAAGTGCGTTTAATTATATGTACATTTATTTGGTCAACTCGCTTCGACAGAATATACGAAACACATAGTAATAAATCACACAGTAGAAGCCAAGGGAAAGCGAACAGTAGATAAATCAGGAAGATGCAGAAAGACGCGAAGATTATTTCCAAGAGAAATTTTTATCAAAGTTTTTCATGCGGTCCTTGTATTTTCTTTTCATTCCGTTATAGATGAGCATATGTGGATTTCACTGTAAGTGAGAGAACGAGAAAAAAAGGCAAAACAAAATGTGTCATTCCAAGGAGTGATATTTTACAATTGTTTTCATAAATAAATATATATAATAGTTATTTAGTGGTTAACCATGGATCCATGCTAGTGAACAGTTTGGGGCGATAAACAAGTTGTGCTGGAGTACATTTTGCCACACCATAATCATGACAATAATAACGAAATACAATCGTTCTCGGGCAAGTATGAAGACTTTTTTATTATAATCATATTACGCTCATTTTATCGAGTTGATGCTCCTTTTGTGAAAGAAAATACTCTTATCCTAAATGTCTGAAATTTCAGAACGAGATACTTGATAAGTCAGATAAAAATTCTGCGAAGAGAAGTTAGTCTTTTTTGCTGAGATAATAGGTGAACTAGGAAAATCAAAATCCTTAATAAATTCAATATATGAGCCTCAAAGATGCTGAGAAGTAATATTACACATTTTCCAGGGTTTGAAGCAAGCTTTTCTTAAGCTTTCTGGTTGAAAAATAAATTTGGGTTTAAAGGTTGCAGTATTTTATAAAGATAACAAAAATAGATGAGCATTAATCATAGCTAAAGCACTGCATTGTATCATGTTAAAGTATATAATCTCGATGTTCGATATTTTAAATTCTGACTAGAATCAAAAAGCTTATTTCAGTTATATATATATATGAATAGAAATTGGCCGAAAAAAAAGAATTTTAAAAATTAATATAGCTTTGAATGCTGTTTTGGAACGGCAAAACTCTAGTGCTTTTTTTCAATATGCACTCGACTGAAAAAAACGTATTTCCAATATTTTTCAAAACATTTGTGAGCTTCAAAAGTGAAGGGGTTAGGTAGGACTGCTGGCCAATTTGCTATAAATTAGATTATACTAATTGACTATAGGCTTTGTTTTCCGGATTCTTGCAATTTGAACAATATTGTCGCATCTCCACAAATGCCGGAACTCATAAGAAATTACGAGAATATATATATATTGTTGGAAATTTTATGATCCTAAATTGGATTGAATACGATGTAACGAACTATTACTTAAATACTGAATATTAAAAAACGAGCAAGTTCTTGTCTTGATTGAGAGTCACGAGCTTTTCGTCAATACATATCAAGTTCTTATGATAGTAGGGAGTTTTCCATAAAACAAATTTTAGGATTCATTTATTTTTAACTACTCATTAAAATGCAGTACTGAAAATAATTGGGTTAGGGAATAGTCCATGACCTAAAAAATCTAGAAATGATTGAGAAACAAATCTTTCCTGCTACTGTTTGAGATGACATGGATATTGAGTTTAAGTTCGATCCATCTTAATCCACACGTACCACCAGATCGTTGTATATGAAGTTAGAACAGACATTTATCGAGTCTGAATAAAAATTTGTCTGGATTCTAAATAGCATCGTTAGTTCACTCTGATAGAGCCCTAAATAATCATTTGAGACAAAACAATTGAGTATGTAATGGAAAAACCTTTGTATCGGTATTAACATCACTTTCTATAGATCTTGCTTGTCTCTGTCTTCTTCACTCTCACTCTCTCTCTTATACACAATTTCATTGAACGTACGTACAGTCAACATATTCTGGAGATCTAAAGTAGCGAATAAACATTAATAGGTTGCTTGATTAGAATGCTTTTGAGGTTTTTCATGAGAGTTCCCATTTCCACCAATCGATCTGTAAATGCGTGAAAGAGCATTTACATGAAGATAATTCATCATGCTGAGTCTGATTGTAATATTGGTTTTTATTCTCGAACTGATTGAGCTCTGTTATCGCTATATTTTGCAAATCTCGACTCTAATTCATTGCATGGAGGCAGGCTGTTGAATTTCAGAAATGTAGTGATAGGTATTCCAGACAGATCCTAACATACAAATAAATATGACCGCTGGGCTCAGTTTGACAACCTCCCATCCATCGGACTTTTCGTCTAGGTAATTATTCAGTAGTCAAATTTTGATTTGATTCGATCGGCACTTGTATCTCAGTTTCATCTCTCTCCTATTTCCATATTCTCATAGATAACTATTAACTCTGCTACATAATTATTTTATTTTAGGCACTGTTAAAGTGCCAATTTCATCTTATATTAAAGGTATGGCGCCATGGATTGCGATGATTCTCTTCGTAACTTATGTTAGCGCTTGCATTCTTTTACTTCCTACTCGTTTATCGAACTATCAGTGGAATCACGTTTTCAGTAGATACGTTACCTCAGGTTACACAAAACAATTGAGTATGAACTCTGCGATTGATTTCAATGACATTGTAGCAGATTTAAAAATGTACTCCCTACAACACAGTCGATATTTAGAAGAGAAACTCTTTTCACAGTGGATTCACCGAGAAGTGGCAAAGACTTTGGAATATTTTTCACGTCAAAACAATTTAAAGGGAATCGTGATTTGTACTGGAAATGGACATTTTCTTCTGACACTAGTAGCACTACATGCGCTTCAGTCGATTGGAAACACAATGTCCATCGAAGTTATGTTCTCCACTTCTACTGATCTGTCAGCGAGCAACCAAAAACTGCTGAAAAACCAGTTTCCCACAGTTCGACTAGTGGATTTATCGACAATTTTCAATGATAGCTATTTAGAATTGCGAGGTTGGGAAATTAAACCGTTTGCAGTACTCGCATCGCGATTCCAGCACGTTCTTTTGATTGATTCTGATGTTTTGTTTTTGGAAAAGCCGTCAGCTCTTTTCGAAAATGAACTGTATCTTCGCACGGGTACTCTATTTTTCTACGATAGATTCGATTTATCCCCGAAGGCTCTTCGATGGGTTCGTAGCATATCGATGAAGAGCACTGGTACTATTTCTCACCGAACACAAGAATCTGGTGTTGTTGTCATTGATAAGGGTCGTACTCTTATGGGTCTCTTGAGTACATGTAAACTGAATGAGCATGAACAACGTGAACGGGTGACTTATAAACATCTCCATGGTGACAAAGACACATGGTGGCTCGGTTTTCACCTTGTCGATATGGCCTATTCATTCATACCAAGTCTGACAGCTTCGATAGGACATATTCACCGACGTAAGGTATGCGGACACATCCTACATCTTGATCAAAACCATCGGCCCATATGGTGGAACGGCGGATTGTTTAAAAATCGCTACGTCAATACACGTGATATTCTGCCCATTGAAGTTTGGTTAGAAGAAGGCAAGTGGACACTTGCAACTTATTCGTGTTTAATCAACCATCGACAAAAACCAAGATCATTCAACCAATATCAAAGACATCTAATTGAAAACTATACGCATATCACAAAACACGTCTATAATATCGCACCAGGATAGTGACTATGATAACGACGTTAAGACCGATAATAGGTCAAGTCTTTTCAATAGCTTTCAATCGCTGATGCAAACATGTAGACACCAAAAATTCCTATTTATCAAATCAGTAAATATCCACATTTTGAGGATGAGGACTTGAGTATGGGTGACGTTTAAATCAGAAGAAGTGAATTAAGAGTAGTTTCAACTGATAAATATGGTACAATAAATAGCTTTGTGAATAATGAGAACAGTTGAATAAATAATGTAAATGTTTAAATAATTCGTCGTTTCGTAATATTTCTTTGAATAAATTTAGCAGTTTTTTTTTCAATGTTTTTAATAAGTTTTGTTTATTCCAAACAAACAGTATACTAATTTCAAATAATATACGAAATAGAGTAAAACACTTGGAAATAAATACTTTATGAACTGATGCATGTCGAATATTTTTTCTACACTATAATACTATCTAATCTATTCGCTCAAGCTCACTCCTACTGCGCTTGCCAATTTACATATAACTCTACAGCTGATATAAAATATGCCCTTATCTCTAGATAAATTCGTATTTTAGTCTCAATAGTTTGGAAACTACAGAAAGCCATAACAAAGTGAAATCATTAATCCACGTCACATAACAAATAAAGCGTTTACAAAAAATGAATGCATAATTCTACAAAACAAAACAATGTTTAAAAGAAATTAATGAGTGCTAAAACATATAATTCGTCGTTGTTTTTTTGTTTGTTTTGACAGTAGATACTTATATTGAACTACCTAAAAAAGAAAAATCAAAATGTATTATTTTTCTAAATTTTCTGTTATTGCTTTTATCATCGCATTGGGAAGTTTGTTGTACAGTAAAATGCTCTTCTAAGTATCTGCCAAATGATACGCCAAAAATAAATGAAATATCGGCAAGCAGTGATTCTTCAAAAGTAGCTTGTCAACTCTAACGAAACTCTTATCCAACACTTGCTGTACTCAATATAATAGTAATTTCAAATATTTCGAAAAGTCTTCTAAAATGTTTTTCTTCAAAATTCGGCAAATACTTATTCAAAACTAACTTTATTCTAGTACTTTCTATTCTTGTCTCTTAGTTTTCGATATGCGAACATATTTTTACAGTTCTTCACGATTCACGATGTCCCATGGGTTTATCACCCGTTGGGGCCAACCACTGATCGGATAATGTTTTTCCATTGTCTCCGATCTTGTGCCAGGTGGAACAGGTCCTGTCCGCTGCGTCCGC